CAACTATATTTCTATCAGATATTTCATATTGTCACATGCCTGGACTATTATATGAAAAATTAGACAGTGGTTATTTTAAGTATAGTAAATATGTTCCAAGATTTGTGATGAGAGAGGTCAGTCTCTAAAAGTTAACAAGACTTAATAGCTTAACAATGCCTTTCACTCTGTACAGTTTAACAAATCACCAAGGCCATTTCTAAACAACAAAACAGTTGATCAATTTATTAAATTCTTGCCAACCAAGTAACTATTTTTTCCTAAAGTTCAAGCTGACTTCATATTTTATGTTGTGTGGACAATTACAAGTTTCCAATTATGTAGTGTTTTAATATTCTTTTATTTTTAGGGTAAGCATTTTTCTCAAAGCAGTTTTTATAAAATCTAATTATTTACCTAACAAAAACTTATGCTCTATTGAAACCGGGATAATCTCATAATTTCTATAAAAATTATGCGGGTTTATTAGAAAGTCTACAAGAGAATTTCCCCTCTACCTCTCTACATTTAAAACATGAGCTAGATGAACTCAGTCTGCTTTATTCTGACTCATTTTTTATTTTGAAATTTGGTCACTACCCATTTCCTGTGTTAAACTGTGCATACCCTCTCTATGGTTACTATCTCAAACTAATGATGATCCTCCATCACACTGCATAAAAGAAGCTACACCTTCAATACCATCTGACAGTCCCTATAAGTTATTTTAAACGGGTACTGACATACACCTTCTTTAATGCTGTTACCGTTCCAAGAAGTCAGCATGACCATATTTTGGAGGAGCCAGAACGGTAGAATAAATGATAGGAATGAATATCAGATTGAAGGTCATATAATCAGTTTCAATTCTAACAGAAATTCTGACTTTAGAAGGGTCACTAATTCCCTGTTCCCAAACTGTCTTTCAATGGGCAATTCATATCTCAACATTAAAAATGTTCCCATTAATTTTAAGTTCAACGTAAGATATATGCACATGGAGGAAAAAACAAACAGCCAATTGCAAATAAGGAAGTAAGACAATCAATTCCACTAAATCCTATTAAATCCCCTTCTTCCCTCTAAAAAAGAAAAGCTGAAGGTGATAAAACACTCAGAGAATTGCCAGGCACCTTTCTAACATTAAACCTATTAATCTTCACAACAGGAAGTAGATGTCAAATACCTCTAATTTTACAGATGAAAGAACCGTAAGATTAACTGACTCTCCCAAAGTCACACACAAAGTTAGATATTAAACTAAACTCCAGGATTTCACACCCATAATTTGGAACCAAACTATGTTAGATCAAACCAAAAATGCTAGTTATCTCACTCTACCTGCTATCCTCTGTATCAGTGCTGCCCAATAAGGTAGTCACAGCTGTACCTGAAATGGAGCTAGTCCAAATTGAGAGATTGTTAAGTGTAAAAGGCCAGATTTTGAAGACTTGTATGAAAAGAACATGAAATACTTAACCATATTTGAGGGGGAAGAAATGGGCACCATCAGTATTTTGAGGGACACAGTAATTAATAAATACACACACTAGGGCTTCCCCGGTGGCTCAGACGGTAAAGAATCCACCTGCAGTGAAGGAGACCCGGGTTCCATCGCTGGGTTGGGAAGATAGCTTGGAGGAGGGCATGGCAACCCACTCCAGTATTCTTGCCTGGAGAACCCATGGACAGAGAAGCCTGGCGGGCTACAGTCCATAGGGTCACAAAGAGTCAGACACGACTGTGCGACTAAGCACATACACACACAGGCCTTCTAATATTCTCCAAGGATAATAAAAGATGTTTTTATTTCATTGCAGGCACATGTGACAGAATAAATTACAAGTGAGGAGAAAGGCTGACTTTCTCTTAAAATCATATTCCAGTTCCTTAGGTGGAAACATGAAGATACTCATATTCCTAATGCATGCAGAGTTATCAAAGTCACCAAAGGATGCCCATAAGGCAAAATGAACTTCTCAAAACATTTTACTTAATGTGTATTTACACCTATTTTTAAAATACCACATAGCAAGTATGGTTCTAAGACAGAATCAGCCCTTAACCTTATTTTGACTAAAATAATAAGAGATACACAGTGAGGGGAGAACATCAATTTAAAAAATAAGGATCACCTAAAAATAGCTTGGCAATTCCACAGAAAGTTACCATACGTGTAAAACCAAAGAGAAATGAAAACACATAAAGTTACCGTAAGTGTAAAACCAAAGAGAAATGAAAACGCAGGTCTACACAAAAATGTGTAGGTGACTATTCAGAGCAGCATTATGCATAATCATTAAAAAGTGGAAACAATGCAAATATCCATCAAATGATGAATGAATGAACAAAAAGCAGAATATAGGAATAGTCAGCTGTAAAAAGGAATAAAGCACTAATACATTATTTTTACTATATGTATAAACCTTGACAACAACATGCTACGTGAAAGAAGCCAGTAACAAAAGATCACATACTGTATAATTCCGTTTATATGAAATATTTAGAATAGGTAAATCTAAAAAGACAGAATGACTGCTAGTGAGTCTGGGTTTCTTTTGGAGGGTGATGACTGAGCGACTGAACTGAACTGAAAATGTTCTAAGATTGACTGTGCTGATGGCTGTACAACTATGTGAAAACACCAAAAATCACTTCAAATGGGTGAACTGTATAGTATGTGAATTACATCTCAATGAAATTGTTTAAAAAATTTTAAAAAGCAGCCAGAAAAGTAGAAGGGGAAGAGATTAGGACTGTCGAGCATTTAATTGCTATTTCTCTAGATTTTTCTAATTTTGCCATATCTAAGCTTTTAGGTTTTGTAATCTGTGATTTTTCCCCTCATTTTAAAATATTCATAAGTCAAAATTTTTTTCATCACATCATTACACTACTAAACTTAATGAAAATCATAAATTCTACATTTAAATGGCAATTTCAATAGCATGCAAATCATCTCAATAAAGTTGTTAAAATTCTTTCATTTAAAAAAAAAAGGTATTAAAAAAATTATGCCTGATGTTAACCTTAAAAGAATCACAGAATTAACAAGATAGTATTTTAAGTCCTTCAAACCAGGAAACCCACTGAGACAGCATTAACTGCCTTGGAGAGTAAATGGCTTTGTGGAAAGCCCCCCAAATCGTCACCATCTCAATCAGGCAAAAGCTCAAAGTTCAGAAACAGATGATGGCAATCTGAAGATCTCAGTATAAAAAAGTACAAAAAAATAAAAAATACTACTAGACCACCTTCTTTTAAAAGCTAAACTCTTGATTCAGATGCAGAATGGAAATATTCAAAAATTAAAAAAAAAAAGCAAACAAAAGAACCCCTATATTCACCTAGACTCTTAAAACTGAAGGAAAAAAGTCTTTTATGAAAAATCTGTAATAGGTGTTTTAACTCACACACCTTATGTATCTTAAGAACCTCAAAAGCAGCTGTTATCTAAGATAATGAAGGATTTTTTTTTTCACCTTTTTAGAATAATAAAATGTAATGGTGCCATTCCGCAGCCCACCCCATCCCCCATTACCACCACCATCGGCAGGTGGAGGGAAAGGACTACAGGAAGACAGCTTGGAGTAACCCTTTGGACTTTGTAGGTAAGAATGCAGCTGGTGGTCTCTCAGGAAGGAGTAAAAAGATTTGTGAACAAACTGACATAAGGGTTATCTTTGGCCAGGAAGAGCGCACACCGTGAGCCACATTGCTCGTCCACATCAGCTATATCCACAGTAAAACACAGGCCGCTGGAAGGCACTGTTAGCATCACCAGGAAGGCCTCTCACGCCGGGGGTGTTTTTTTTTCAACGGAGAAGTTGATTCCCGTAGTTTGGATATTGGGGGGAGGCAGGGGTAAAGCGGGAGTCGGGAAGACCAGAGAAAGTGCCTTTAAGTGGAGACGACTCGGGCCTCGCTGAGGAAGTTCCGAGCCCCACTCGGTCGCCACACGCTAGTCCCTCCTCCCTCCCCACCCTCGGCCCCAGACTTCGTTGCGGGAGCCAGAGCCGGAATCTCCGCCGCCGCTCCTGGGCTGGGGGCGCAGGCGGGCCGGGGCGGCGCGGCACACGCACGCCTCCTCCACACTCGCCGCGCCCGGCCTCCCTGCCGCGAGGCCCAGCCCCTCGCAACCGCGCCGGGCCGGCTCCGCGGGGCAGGCCTAGGCCGCGCCGGCCGTACCCCGGCACCTCGCTCCCCGCGGAGGCGGACCAGGCCCGACACAAACTTCCCGGCGCGTTAGCACACGCGTCACGGACCGGCCGGCCCCCAGCGCCATTCCCCCGCGGCCCGGCGGCGGTGGCTCCCGCCCCTACTCCCCACACTCTGAGTCCCGGCGGAGATCGACCCGAGGCCCACGGCCCTCACCCCTCCGGCGCCCCCGAGTTTACCTCCAAGTCGCGGCCTTTGTTCTTGAAATTCTTGAGCCGTTGGTTGTCCAGTTTCTCGTTGTCCGCCATGGCCGGGCCGGTGACTCCTTCCCCCGCCCGGGCCCCGCGGGATCCGCCCCAACCACCACGCCGCACCGACACTCCCAGGAACCGGGCCGCTGCCTGAGCTGCTGTGCCCGCCGCGCCGCCGCTTCCTTCCTCCTCTCACCTGCCTCCGCCGCGGTCTTCTCAGCCTCTCCCAACCCGTCCCCCCCCCGCCCTAACCCCAACGCGACCGCAGCTCCGGCGAAGACAACTGCGGAGCCGGGCGGCGGCAACGGCGGCGGAATGTGCTGCCGGCTGCGAGGGGGAGGCAGCCTCGATCTGAGGGCCCCGGCGCCGCGGCCACGCCCATCGCCGCCAGTCCCGCTCGCCGATTGGCCAACCAGACTCCGGTGCGCGCGACCAATCAGAAAGAACGATGGAGAGCGGGGGCGGAAGAGAGAACGGAAAGGGGAAGCGGGAGACTCTGGGAGGAAGGGGCCGCGGGATGGGCCCGGAGGGGAGTGGGTGTGGCGAGGAAGAGCAGGGAGGGACCACGTGCCCCCGGAGCAGGGGGGAGGAAGCGAGAGAGAAGTCGGAGGCTTAAAGGAAGGCGGGAAGGGAAAGGGGGAAGGAGACGCCCGGGAACGAGTTGGTTTGTTCTGGTTGTAGGGCCCGCCCCAGACGTCTGGAGTCCCGGGGCCGAAGCTCTGTAAAAGTACGTTCTTTTCTTCTTCGGTGCGTCTTCTCTCCTAGGGCATTCTTTGCGCGCTCCTGGTGCTTTACAGGAGATCTGCGCCTCGGTTCCATCCGGGATCGGGACAACCCCCTGTTCTCAACCGAGCTTCCTACCCTGGCAGGGGTCTCTGCTGTCTGGGGGCCCGGCCTTGGGGCCTGGACTGGAAAGAGTGACATGCGTTCTGGAGTCGCAGCGGAAAGCGGGAGGGTCAGTGGCTGGAAAAGGAAAAGGACGCTTTAGAGGAATCTGATTCATCCCCCCTGACCAAGTCCCGCAACAGGTGGGAACTTGGGAAGCGCTGATTTATCCTGTGGTTATTCTTGTGTTGTTGGTTAGTTGCTAAGACCTATCGGACTCTTTTAGGGGCTTTCCCTGGTGGCTCAGTGGTAAAGATACACGACTCTTGGCGACACCATGGACTGTAGCCCGCCAGGCTCCTCTGTCCATGGGATTTCCCAGGCAAGAATACTGTAGTGGGTTGCCTTTTCCGTCTCCAGGTGCTCTTTCCAATCCAGGGATCGAACCTGTGGCTCCTGCTTGGCAGGAGGATTCTTTACCACTGAGCCACCAGGGAAGTCCCCCATTCTCCTAGATACTTCGTCTTGCAAAGTTAAAAGAACTTCTCGGCCACACAGTACCAACTTCTGAAAGGCGGGAACCATGGCACCTGACATAGGAAATATAATATTCTGACTGTTGAGAAGGGAAAAGAGTTCCAAAGATACACATCTCTAACAGAAATGTTATTACCAGAGATAGAAATAACACAATCTACGAAAGAATGTACTAAAAGTGCTTCAGAAAACGGAAGACGGAAATAGTTTAAAAAATATATTTTAAAACGTTTAAAATGAGAATAATGCCTTTAAAGTCTTTAATATTTTGTATGCTTTCAGCTACCTAGGCAAACAGAAGCTGTACTTGGAAACAGTTCACACTGTACGTTAACTTGAATGTAAATTCAGTGCCGATTTTAAGTTTAAAATGATGTTCATTTTAAATTTTATTCCCCATAGAACCATTTAATTGAAGGAACATTGCACACGGTAGCACTGATGTCTTCAAACTGAGTTTAGAATAAGAAAATTCAGTTCAGAATACCCTACTCCTAAAAGAAGGGTGTGATCACAGTATCCACTAAGAGAGATGCAATACAAACAGCAAATAACCACAACCTGTAATTTTGGTCTTTCCTATTTGTTTTTTTCTCTATATTCCCAGCACCTCATGCTTGGCACCCTTAGTATGCACTCAGTGACAAGCCAGGACCTACAGCTAAACTGCTGTGAGTGTGTGTTTCATTAAGTTAAGAAACAAGCTAACACTTCTTGATTAAAAATGTTGAGTTGTTGCAATTTCTAATCTACCCTGGGTTCCTTCTAAGAATTCTTAATTTGGTATCATGCTTATTCTAGGGTTAAAGTTAAGGGATTAGATTCGGACATAGGCTTCAGGGCAAACCCCCTACATGTTTAGGAGTTGGAACATGCTTTTCTAAAATGAACAATTATCCTTAATTATAACGATAGGTAGTCTGTCTGTTGGCCTAAATTATTCATTTGAAATTATCCCTACCCATTGCCTCTCGCTTTACATGTTTTGTATCTGTACCTCCAGTTCTTTCAGATGTGTGTGTGTGTTCTAAGACATTTAAGTAGTGTCTGACTCTTCGCAACCCTATGGACTGTAGCCTGTCAGGCTCCTCTGTCTATGGGATCCTCCAGGCAAGAAGACTGAAGCGGGTTGCCTGTGCCTTCCCAACACAGGGATCAAACCCTTGAATCTATGTCTCCTGCATTGGCAAGTGAGTTCTTTACCATTAGCGCCACCTGGGAAGCCCTCTTTCCAGATAGAAGATATATAATATATAAAAGGGGTACATTGTTTTCCCTGGAGTTAGTAATAGATCTAAATACAGATTGGCAATCTAATTGGCTAGATATGGTAGCTCTAAGCATAGTTAGGAGGTTTCAGAAATTTAACTTGCCAAACTAAGGAAATAGTAAAATGCAGCCATTAATATCATTTCAACATAGATTAACAAGTGTTTTTGTGTATATGAAATATAAATTATAACCAAATACTATAAGACTTCTACATGAGGCCTATTTTTTTTTAATTATGAAAGTGTGATAACACATTTACAGGAGACTTTGAAAATACAGAACAAAGTTGCACATAGTTCTACTATATATTACAATTTTTTAAATGTAGATAAATTAGGATTTTTAGTTGGAGTTTCAGTATCAAACTCTCAAAAATTAACAAATATAAAAGTAGAACGATATAGTAGACTTGAAAAGCACTATGAACCAATTACACATAATTAAGATTTATATAATTTTCACACTAGAGCAGGATACAAATTCTATTCAAGTTCCTATAGACTATAAACCAGGAGACCCTGGATATGTTCCAGGGTCATAAAGTACAAAAATTTCATGGTCTAAAGGTATTGAAATCATACAGAGTCTATTCTCTTATCACTGTAGAATTATGTTAGAAATCAATATCAAAAGATATTTGAAAATAAACCACATTTACCAAGAGAGATCTTTGACTTAGCCATTGAAGGCCCATAAGACCTATTTTTAAATAGGATATTCAATATCAGGTACTTCATATCCTGACATTATTACTTTGGTATAAGAAAAGTCTAAAATATTGTGGAGATAATAACTTTCAATGTGTCATGAAATTCTCTTCTTAGAGTCACTTTCTGAATAAAGAAATTTATTTCTTTATTTTCTTTACTATTTCTCTGTTCTGCAGCAGAGATTTGTGAAGAGGATTTGTGAAGCTTTATATGGTGTTTTAGTTGATCAAATGTAATTTCAAAAATAATTATAATTTATCATTATTTCATTTAAGCAGTTTGGAGTATTCTCATGATACATATATTAAATTGAAGAATGTAGAATCCCTCTTTAGAGTATGGATCTTACAGTTTGTCTTACCATTTGGGGAACTATGTGCAATTTCTTGAGCAAAACTCTAGGCAGTATTTACTGAAAGTAGAAGCAGCTTTGTATGTTGCTAAATCTTAATTAAAATGTAATTTATATTTTTTATAGTTGGAGTGGTTCTTTTTTTGGGAGAGAGAGAAAAAAGCACTGAACCTTTGTTAACACAATTTTATTTTCTTAGGAAAACAGAACTGATCAGGTATTAAGGGACTATTTATTTCTCTTTATTGCCAGGCTTTTTCAGACTTGAGTTTTTCAGACGACTTCTTATTTTGACTTAGGGCTCTGAATGGTAAGATATTAAAAGGCTAGCTGTTGATAATAATCTGATTGAGAGAGATGAGCCATGAGCTTTTCTTAAGTTAGATTTTTGTTTGTTGTAAAGCTTAGTTTTTACTAATTATTAATAATTGGAGAAATGCTCATAATTCATGTGTACAGATTATTGATTGTTGGTAAATATCTATTTGTATTGCCATGAGGGAAACATCCATAGACTTTCTAAAACTTTTCCACTTGCTTTTTATTTTGACCTAAATATTGGGAAAATGAAAGGATACATACTCTTCATTTTTAACTTTTAAAAAGTAAATAAAACAGAAGGAGCCACTTAAACCAAACAGTCAAGGATACTGACTATATGACTTAGAGTAGTGCTTCTCAAACAGAGTTCCCCAGATCTAGATGTTAGTAAGTGTTCCTTAAACACACACACACACACACACACACACACACTTTTGCTTGCCTAACACTTTTAGGAACTTAGTGGGTTCGGGGGAGTAGAAACTTCAGGACATTAGTGTTAAGCAGAACATTCTTTGGAAACTTGAAATAAGTGAACCTAGAAGGATCACTATCCCTCTTCAGTTTAAAAATTTTGTGTTAATAACACAGTTTGTAAGTATAGTGATTTACAAATGATTGGTATTTCAAAAGTTTGCTTGAAGATTAGTTCTTTGAAATATGTGCATAAGAGCATGGTCATGACTAGGGAGTAGGAGTTTAAGTTAGCCCACAAGGGCTTATTTAATCTATAAAGTACTTATATGAATGTCATGGAACCCAGTGACACTATGTGGCAATAGTTCTATGAGGAAAATATTTGGATTTATAACTTTGGTTGGGAGGAGCACATTCCTTGTCTTTACTTCTATGCACCAGAAGCTGTGTTAGGTGAGAAAGTTATAGTGTTGTTTACATGTACAATTACATGTATCAGAGATTCTGCAGATCCATATCTTACCCAATGTTAGGGGAGCCTCACCTCACTCTCACTAATCAGGCTCCTATGGCTTCCATTAGCCCCAACTAGTGGAAAGGAATGTTCAGATTCTAGGGGCTGAGAAATAAGGAACTGGGCCCAACCTTTTACCCCAACTCCTATCTTTTTTTTGGCGGGGGGGGGGGAGGTGGTGGGGGGAGGAAGCTTTTAATTTTTTAAAATAATTATAGGTTCACACGAATTGCCAAAAAAAAGTACAAGGAGGCTGTATATATTCTTTACTCAGCTCCATCTCCTCCCCATGGTAGCATCTTGAGTAACTACAGTACACTAGCCAAATGAGAAAATTAATGTTGATATATTTCATAGAGCTTATTCAGAGGGGAGGGGAATCATTAGGATGTAAAAACTATAGAAAGGATCAGGGGTACCTATATACTGAAGCCTTATAATCCTATGCTTGAAGAGAATTTTACAATGACAAAGTAATTGCTACCGGGAATTCCCTATTGATTGGTGGCTAGCACTCTGAGCTTTCACTGCCAAGGGCCTGGGTTGGAAGATATTGATAAGATCCCACAAACTCTTTGCATTGAGACCAAAAATAAAAAATAAAATAATAATTGCTACCAAATATTTAATACCTATCATATTCTAGGTCTAGTATTCTATCTATGTGATGTACATTATTACTATCATTGTTATTTGCATTTTTACTATTATAAGCATAACAATTATTGAGCAGTTATGGGGCAGGCAGTCTTCTAAGCAATTGATAATATTGACTCATTGAATCCTCATAACAACCCTATGAAGAAAGTATCTCATTACCCACTTTACAGATGAGAAATCTGAAGCACAGGTTTAGTAATTTCCGCAAGATTATACATTAAGTAGAAGAGTTAGCATTTGAACTGAGTTGGACACCGGAGCCAACACTCCTGAGTGCCATGTAGATACACAGACTTCAGTGTTCATAGTAACCTTT